GGGTTGGTTGTATACTTTCTGGGTTTACTTGTATTGATTGTTTAGTTTGTGTGTTTTCATACCTCTATTTGTACTCTTCGTGGTTCATACAGTTTGTACACTTTGTTTCTCATGTTCATACAGTTTGTACACTTTGTGTGGTTTGTACAGTTTATTACTCTGCTTCGTATGGTTTGTTATTTTTATGATTCTGCTTCGTATTGTTTTTTTATTGTATAGTTTGTATGCTTTATTGTATTTGTTGGTTGACTTGTTCGGTTGTTGCTTTTGTTGCTTTTAAGTAAGGATCGTAGAAGGTTCAGAGGTGGGAGGGTCAAGTACCCATGCTGCTGAAGCTGAAGTTACTAAAACCAAGAGGAAGGGGGAGAACCTTAACAATAAGGGGAAGGAAGTTCAAATTTCTGGTACAGAGAAAAGGAAAAGAAAGGTTGTCGCTGGAGAGAAGCAGAAGGCAGCAGCTCGTGCAAAAAGGAAGAAGTGAGCTCGGGGGGGGGGGGGGGGGGGGGGGGGGGGGGGGGGGGGGAATGAAGCTGCTTTAAACTATCGATGCAGCCCGAAAGAGATTCTGAGTCATGTTCTGCCTCCTTTATTTCATGGCAGGGTACAATTAATTAAGCAGTTGGGCTTGGATTTTGTGTTTTTGATGAAGATGAAGAATCTGGACAATGAACTTATTAAGTTCATTATTTCAAGGGTGGGATGGGAAGAATAAGTGTATCAACTTCGATGATGGAAAGAAGATTTGCATTACGGAAGAGGATGTTTACAGAGTTTATGGCCTTCCAAGGGGACCAAATGTTGTGTCTTTGCAGAAAACATCAAAGGTGAATTCTAACCTTGGTAAAGATTATGATTTCAGTAAAACTGGGAAGGGGACTGTTGCTTTTGAGAATTTGAGGACTTGTCTGGGAGCAGAGAAGTCTGATCCTAGGTGGGTGAATATGTATGTGCTGATGATTTTTTGCCGCCTTTTCGAATCTGTTTCATCTAGGAAGGTGACAACAAAATACTTGACTTTTCTTTCTCAAGAAATGGTTAAGTATTTCTGTGACTATGATTGGTGCAGTTATGTGTATGGTCTCATTTGTGATAAGGTGACATCAAGTCAGCATAACAGTTGGGTTGAGGGAGATATGCACTTCTTGCTTATTTGTTTCCTCGATAGGACAACTGTGAATGAGGAAGAGGCCAGCCTCTGTGTTAGTAATTTGGTGCCAACTTGTCAGTTGTGGAGTTCGAAACATTTGAAGCAAAGGAAGGAAGCAATCGAGAAGAAGTTTGGGAAGGATTTTGGTAAATTTTTTGTTCTAAGGGATGCACCCATTTCTTCTACTACTCGTCCGAAGATGACTAAGAGTCTTAGTGGTTTTGAGGTTGCTAGAGGTGAGAAGGGTTTTGGTATTGGAGATGAATTTCCAGATTTCGATTTGAATCTGGATGGCAAGACTGTTCAAGAGGTGAGTTAGTATGGTTTTGTATGTGTTCTTTGCTTACTTTGTACAAATTGTTCGTATGCTTTATAGTAGGTTTAATACACTTGTATATCCAAAACTTTCACGGTTGTGCCAATAATATCCAAATTTCCCGGAATACCACTTATATCCATTATTTAAAGTTGTTCTTTGCCAAATCTATCCATTTCCCAATATATTTTTGGTTAAATACACTTGTATGTCCAAAAACACCGTTAAAGAATGTGAAGGAATTGGATATAAGTGGTATTTCGGGAAATTTGGATATTATTGGCACAACCATGAAAGTTTTGGATATACAAGTGTATTTAACCTTTATAGTATTGTTTTCACAATTTATAAGCTTTATGATATGTTTCTGTATTGTTTATACTGTTTGTATACTTTGTACTGTTTGCACTGTTTGTACATTTTGTATGTTTTGGTCTCATCCTTTGTACTGTCTGTATACTTTGTATCTTTTTGCACTATTTGTACACTTTGTATGTTTTGGTCTCATCCTTTGTATTGTCTGTATATTTTGTATATTTTTGCACTGTTTGTACACTTTGTATGTTTTGGTCTATTACTTTGTACTGTCTGTATACTTTGTATCTTTTTGCACTGTCTGTACACTTTGTATGTTTTGGTCTATTACTTTGTACTGTCTGTATTATTTGTGTACATTCTCTAACTTATGTTTGTGTTTTCTATTATTTGTTTTGTTGTAGGTTAAGTTGATTAGGAGAAGGTTACAAAGTGCATTATCTGAGTTGGAACAGCAAGGTAAGCTGTACCGAAGACAGATAAATTAGTGTCACCTATACCTAGCTGATATCGAGGTACACACTGATTCCGAAGGTGTTGAACGTGTTGAGAAAGTTACAGCAAATGATTCTGAAGGTGCTGAAGTTGTTGAGAAAGCTACAACAACTGATAATGAAGAGAGTGAGAGTGAAGGCGGTTATCAGAGTGGGAGTGGGAGTGGGAATGGAAGTGGGAGTGGTAGTGATGGTGATGGGAGCGATGATGGTGATCGGAGTGGTGACGATGATGATGAGAGCGATGATGGAGATAGAAGGAGGAAACTGATGATGATGTAGCTCTAGTTAATCTGAAGAAGCCAGCTCTTGTGCGGCAGCAGCCAGCAGTGGAGAAGATTGGAAGTGCTCGTGCTCCAGCACTTCCGCAGCAGCCAGCTGAGTTCCAGAAGTTTCTTGCACTTGTGAGGCATCAGCCAGCAGTGGAGAAGACTGGAAGTGCTCGTGCTCCAGCACTTTCGCAGCAGCCAGATGAGCTCCAGAAGACTCCAGCACTTGTGAGGCAACAACCAGCAGTGGAGAAGGCTGGAGTTACTACTGCTCCAACACTTCCGCAGCAGCCAGCTGAGCTCCAGAAGACTCCTGCACTTGGGCGCCAACAGCCAGCAGTGGAGAAGACTAAAAGTGCTCGTGCTCCAGCACTTCCGCAGCAGCCAGCTGAGCTCCGGAAGACTCCAGCACTTGTGAGGCAGCAGCCAGCAGTGGAGAAGGATGGAGTTACTCCTGATCCAGCACTTCCGCAACAGCCAACAATGGAGATTGTGACCTTTGATCCAGCACTTCAAAAGCAGTCAGCAGAGGATGGAGTCGTGCCAACCGCAGTTTCCGAGGAGCTGCCACTTAAGGATATCATGGAAGTTGTTTTACAGATTGCACAATCTGTGGAGGCAGGTGCTGATGGTGAGTGGGGTGAAAAGCTTGCTTAGTTACTAATGGTGATCTTTTAAATTTGTATTACATTTTTTAAATATGCACTTTATGATTGGTTTGTATGGTTTGTACTCTTTGTCGTACTATTTGTACACATGTTGTGTGTGCACACTACCCTTGGATTGCAAACTAGATCTTATGGTTTATTAATTATCTAGTTCTCTGTCTTTATGTCTTTTGTAATGTGCTATATTGTTTCATCTTTGTTGTTTTGGTTGTGAGAAGACGAGTAAAATAGTGATGATAACGATGGGGTTAGGATTGAAGATGATTGTGATGATATTTCTAGTGATAACGCTGAGGATGAGTCAAATGGTGAAGATGACTACAAGAGTGGTGTCGAAGGTAATTGTTATGTTTGTAGTTGGTGCTGACCTTTAGTCTCGTTTACTGCAATTTTAATCTTTTTGTACACTTAGTTACTTTTTCTGCTGCTGTTTGTAATGTTTATCTATTTTGTTTGTGTTGTCTCTAGTTTGTTAGATTCCGGGTCGAATGTTGATTTCGTTAATCTAAGACGCTTGAAAAGGGAGCTCAAGCCATCCAATTTAAAGAGGACACCATAAAATACTGGTAATAAAAAGAGTAAACCTCCTTCCATGAAAGCACCTATTCCTATTCGGCAAAAAAAGAAAAAACCTACCTCCAAGAAGGTAGAGAAGGTAGCTCCACTTTGGACTAGTAGCCAAATATTGTATGAAGAAAAACTTATTCAATATGCTTAGAGTGACAGATTTCCTCTGTAAGTTTCATTTCATACTGTTTGTATACATTTATATATCAGTTTGTACTTTTCTTATTCGGTTAGTGAATTTAATATAAACTGTTTGTATGCATTTTTAGGAATGAAATTCTTTTCGACATGATCGAGCAATTGAGGATGAATGTGTCTTTTAGTGAAGATTTGTTGCTGTCATTAGGGAGTTCCAGTACTGGGTTTTCGCTTGACAAATGATGGAATAGGGAACCAATAGTGTTTTTTTTTTGTAATCCATGACAGTATGCACTAGTGCTATTTTCCATTCTCATGTTTTGTAATGCGGTGGCCATATGAACAGTAGTGTGGCTGTTGGTGTTATGGTTAGAAGGATATTGCTAACCATTAAGTTTGTTTTTGAGAATGTAAACACTTGTCCTTTCTTGTATGAACAGTAGGGTGGCTGCTATCTATGTTATGGTTTGTAATTTTTATCACAGTAGTTTGTATGTTTTGTTGTTGTGGTTCGTAATTTTTTGTATCCTATTTCGTAATGTTTCTGTCTAACATAGAATAAGCATGAGAAACATACAAATATGAATTGAAAAAGAACGCAACAAATGAATTGTTTGATGTGACATTTATTCAGTTTCGTAAACTCCAAAATATATCTATGCAATCACTAAAATATATCTATGTATCTATCAAGTAATATATGATATGACAAGCAGTTCTGTCTATTTATTTATTTTCTGTCATTCGTCCTTTCTTGTAACTTTGTTTGTCTTCTTCTTTCTTGAATGATTTCACTACGAATCTTCCTTCTTGTCCTTGTAACTTTGTTTCCACTTCTACAATAGGATTAAACAGTAGTTGTGAGTTTTTGTAGCATACTTATCCAACAAAGAAACAGACCAGAAAAATATTTAAACAATACAAACTTTAAGTAATATCATTACTAACTGTCAATCTTATGAATATAAACATAAAGAATACTAACTGTTATGATAAAAAATACTAAGGATACAAAAAGTAACTGATATCATTACAAACCTGCTGCTTGTGCTAGGCTGGCCAAATTTCATGGCAGGTATCATGTATTTACTTTCCTTCATCTGCCCTTTCTTGTAACTTTGTTTGTCTTCTCTTTTCTCGAATGATTTCAATACGATTCTTCCTCCTTGTCCTTGATTTAAATGGATAAGTCCTGACTTTTAATGCTTTCGCCCAAAGTGGTTCGCTCTCTTAACTTGTTGGATTCATTTCTGCTTCTAGAATAGGAAAAATACAAAGGATTTAACAGCAATAGTCAGTTTTTGTAGCCAAACTTATGATACAAAGAAACAGACCAGAAAAAATATACTAACGATACAAACTTTAACCAATATCATTACTAACAGCCATTGATATGAATATCAACTAAAAGAATACTGACTATTATGAAAAAACATACTAAGTATACAAACAGTAAGTGATATCATTACAAACCTACACCAGATTAAAGGTAGTGTTTCATTTCTTACCCGAGCTTGTGCTAGGCTGGCCAAACTTCATGGCAGACATCATGGATTCAGCACGAATCTTCAATGCTTGCATTCTTTCCTCAAGCATCTTGTATATGTCATCATCCATACAAGTGCGTGTTGCAAGCAAATTCATGGATCCAGTAAGTTGTTTCACCCTTGAACAGTACACCCTCTCTGTTGTATCTTGTACTGCCGGTAGTGTGAATTCACCAGATTTTGCATCATAAGTCCACCTCTTCAATATGTAGCGTGTGTGAATATTCAGGATTTCTATGTGTCCTTCATAGCCGAGGTGATCTATTGCGCGCAGCACATGGCGACAAAGCCATCCACACTTCTCGAACATCTTGCATGAGCAAATCAGCTTACGCTCCACAAAGTCAACCATAACAATCCTCTTATCAATAGGATTTCTTTGTTGATCTAGTTTTTGAAGCTCATATGCAAACATTCCATCTATATCCTTGGAGTTGTTTGGTCGTATATGGTATTTGATTGACTTGGAGTATTTATCTTGCATGTTCCCAAATATATTTTGTGTATATTTGGTAACAAACTGTTGAAGAATCTCACTGTTCATGAAAGCCAAGTATGGAATAGTGTTCAATGCATCATAGTCACTTCTCAACTCCTTTTATCTTTTGGCTTCAAGAAGGTTGTTGAATTGTATAAAAAACTCCCACAAAGTAAGTTTTGACTTGAGATACTTATGCAAATGGCTGTTGTAACTCTCGCTGAATTGTGAGCTTCTCATTCCACATGAAAAATGATCTTTCAGCCATGCCGATGACCATTTACTTCTGACTTTGTGGAGATTTTGCAGCCATGTCTCAATCTTACTTGTTAATTTCTTCCCTTCTTCTTCATTGAAGCAATTCTCAAGCATCTTCTTCCAATAATAGTAGAATTCATCCTCCATCTCCAAATCATACATAAAGAAGGAAAGCTCTTCCAAAAATGGTGACCACCCGAACCCATTACTCTTTGCATTCATTGTTATATGGAATGTGCACAGCCCATGATAAGTGCGCAACAATGCTGTCCTCGTACCAGCAGCAATTGCTGCTGCTTGATCGGTAAAAACAGCTCCCGGTTCCTTCTCGTTCATGCAAATGAGAAATTGTTTGAAAAGCCAATCAAATGTGGCTGATGTCTCATCATAATGTAGGACAGCACCAAAAACACATGTTTCTCTATAGTTATTGAAGCCCACAAAATAAAGCTGAAATGCAAATTTTGTTTAAAATTAGTAATGAGGTTTAACAAAACTGACATATTGCAAAGTAACAGAACAGAGCATAAAAATATACTAAGAATACAAACTGTAACGGAAAAACATACTAAGAGTACAAACTATAACAGAAAAACATACTAAGAACACAAACAGCAACAGAATCATGACAAATATGGAAGAAAATCATTACAAACATACATGTTAGTGAAAGTTAAAAAAATTATAGTCCCTAATGGACGAGCATTCTTGTTGGTGCAGTATGTTGTGTCAAAGCTGATGGTGTCACCAAAATAGAAATAGTCCATTCTCATGCATCCATCCGCCCAGAAAATACTTGCAATTTCTTCATTTATGTCAACTTGGATCTCATAAAAGAAAGCTGGGTCCATTGAAGCTTCACTTTTGAAATGATGATAAATCATTGTTGTCTCCCCAAACTTCATTGTTTTTTGCCTTTTAGTCCCCAAGTATACAAACAGTACAAAGGATTAGACCAAAACATACAAAGTACACAAACAGTACAAAGAATATTACCAAAACATACGAAGTACAGAAATCAAATAGTATAAACAATACAAAACAGATCCAAAAAGCTTATAAAATGTGCAAAACCAACCTTTTAGTAAGGATATAATTCTTGTGGTCCATTTGTGTGAAACCAACATTTTCTCTTCCTCCGGCAGCCAAGCATAATGCTTGAAATGATGATTGTATCGATATTCCAGCTTTGTGATACATGTCAATCAATAACTTTTGCACTTCATTCATCATTCTATTTGATCTCATGAATTGTCTTGATGATGGTGGGATCATCTCGTGATTATGCTCGTCTAACCAGCTTGAAATGTAGTATTTTTTAGAACAATCTACAAGCTGGAAGCGTATCACTGCTTTGCAATCCCATCTATCATCTTTTCTAATTCTGCTTCTACGTTGTTGGTCAACATGGTCGTCATTTGCTGGATTATTTCCAATACCTTTTCGCCAATCTTCCTTATTGCATATGCCCCCAAAATATCTTACAACTTCACACGGTTTGTTACTTGTTCTCTTAACCCCTCCTGTTTCTCTAAGAGAAAATCCCTTATCATGTGCATAACATTTGTACCACACCAATCCATGATCTTTTGTGTCAAAGCGAAGGTTCATCCACGTTTCTTTATTGTTTGGTATTATTTTGATCTCATCATCTGCAGAAACAACCAGTTTACAATATCAGAACAACCACATTACAAAGTAACAGAACAGAGCAGAAAAACATACTAAGAGTACAAACTGTAACAGAAAAACATACTAAGAACCATTACAAACAGCAACAGATGGCACAACAATACTAACATTACAAACATAATTAAACCATACAAACTGATGCACTAAAGCTATAAAGATATACGGTATTTCGTACAAACTACATAAACCATAGGTTTGTACTGTTTGCACTGTTTGCACTGTTTGTACAAACATAACAATCATCATATATAAAGACTTACAATACAAAATGTACAGAACAGAGCAGAAAAACATACTAAAAATACAAACATCAAAAGAAAGCAAAACAATACTAACATTATAAACAGAATAAACTTTCATAACAAACATAACAATCATCATATATACAAATTTACAATACAGAATCATAACAAATATGCAACAGAATCATTACAAACATAAGACAAGATTTATTACCGATTTCACGTTGTACTGTTGTTTAATGAATATCTACATCCATTGCTGTTTCAGTTCCAGTTTCTCCCTTTTTTGTTCATTAGCTCCATCAACCACTTCATCCATTGTTATCGGAGCAGAATCCATTATGCAAAGAAATTTGTCTCGGTGATCACTGTTGCTGGAAAAATGCCTCGCCAACAGTAGTTGCCGGAAAATTGCCTCGCCGTTCTCTAGAAAATCGCCTTGCCGTTGGCTGGAAAAACGCCTTCGCCGATAGCTGGAGGAGAGTGAAACTCGCCGTCGTCGATCGCGGGAGGAAAATTGCCTCGCCAGTCGCCGGAATCGCCTTCGCCGATCGCTGGAATCGCCTTCGCCGATCGCTGGAATCGCCTCGCTGATCGCGGGAGGAAAATTGCCTCGCCAATCGCCGGAATCGCCTCGCCGGAATCGCTTCGCCGGAATCGCCTCGCCGGAATCGCCTTCGCCGATTGCTGGAATCACCTCGCCGATCGCGGGAGGAAAATCGCCCCGCCGATCGACGGAATCGTCTACGCTCGCTGGAGGAGTTTGGACGCCACCGGGAATCCCCCTCGCCGTTCGCAGGAGGAAAACCTTCGGGAGATTTTTTTCCCCTTCCCAGAATAAAAAGGAAAACCAATAAATGAAATTTTTTAATGCCAGAATAGCCCCTCCCAGTATTTAAAAATCCCTTCCCTAATTTTCACCGTTAGATTGATCCTTCTACATCCAATGGCTAGGAGGGGCTTAGCCAAGTGACTAAGCACCCCCCTTAGTCATGGGATCCTCTCTCCAATTAATTGTCTAAGGCTAAGCGCAATCCACGAGGGACAAACAATAGGTATTTAAGGCTGTAATAATAAAAATAACCATAAATCTACCTCATCGAAAATAGAAATAGCGGTAACCCCGGTTTATTATTTTAAGTTTAATGATTCTAACTTATGAATAGTAAAAATTATATTTATAATTTAATTTTTATATATTTGTTCATGATAATTCGATACAAGCATTCCGATAAAATTTGAGCAATTTTCTAGATACTTTTTTGACAGTCAAAATAATTAGTTAATTACTTTTTCTAGTCATTTTATGATTGTTTATAGCCTTTTATTGTGATTCTAGTGTTTTCTAGTCATTTTGTGATTGTTTATAGCCTTTTATAGTCAACTATAAAAAGTTGTTCAAAAATCGCTTGAATTTTATCAAAATGTTTGCATCGAATTATCATGAACAAATATATAAAATTTAAATTCAATAGCATAAGCTTAACTGTTCATAACTTAGGATTACTAAACACTGAACATTAAATTATAACCATAAGTTACAGCTATTTCTATTTTCGGTGAGACTAAAAATCTATTTTAGCCTTTAAATCCTCATTTTTGTCTTGTAGTTACCCTAACCCCTTTGAGTCATTGGTTGAAGGCATTTTTTAGATGCTAAAAAGACAAAAAAAAAAAAACTCTTTTAGCCTTTGGGTTACGATTAGCCTAAAGGGTGTTACCACCGTATTCGGTCCAATCGCAATACAAAAACCAATAAATCTTTCATTTTTTTGGCAATTTGTTTTTCATTTTTAGAGTTCAAAGCAAGATTGTCAAACCGCTAGGTAACCTATCGGTTGACCTTTTGACCCTGATCTGATGAGAACAATGGATCAAACACATCTGCGGGGTGACCAACGCAAAGTTACTAGCAATGTATTTTTTTCTTTCGTTTGCGAAATGCATATTTTTTCCGATTTTACTCTTCGCGTAGTCCTATGTGTTAGAATTCTAAGTTAAACATTTGAATATTGATGTTATACAAGTGTATGAATTTCACTATATGTTGAATCCAAGTACTACTTGTTATTTTGATGTAATGTTATATATTATTACTTATGAGATTTTATATAGTTTATAAATTTAGAAATAATATAATAATATTTTTATATATTCAGACTAAATCGGTGGATCATTAACTCTCTACCTATTTGCTCGAATTGGTCAACGAGCTAAACCGGTTGTCAACCTTCGTTTGGACTTTACGGAACCCGGAAAACTTTACTCTTTAGCTCGGACTCATCTAAGCCTATTCTCCCCTGTTCCTCAACGTTAAGCGAAGTAGGAGCAGGACTGCAGAGAGAATTTGGATTTCCTGTTGTTTGGTTTGGCCGCTGTGTGATTCAGGTTTAGTTTACTGATTCCGGGATCTCCAGGTCAGTTGTTGCTCTCCCATTCCTCATTTCCAAAATAGTTTTAAACTTGGCTTCTCTCGTTTTAGGGTTTTAGGTTTTTCGTCGCTCCTCTTGAATTGTCTGCTGATTGTGAACTTGGTTACCAGAGTGCGACTGGAGATGGAGGGAGAGCAGCTAACAGAGCAGGAAACTGCTCTGTACGACCGCCAAATTAGAGTCTGGGGCGCAGATGCTCAGCGAAGGTACCTCTTTCTCTCCCTCTCTTTGCCCTCTGTTGTGAACACTTCGTATCGTGTTAGTTAGGCTGTTTTGTGTTCAATCGTAGTCTTGGCCCAAACCCATGAGTTAAGTTCGTTTCTTGTCGAGTGATTCCATCGATTTGAAGTAATTTTGAACTTCTTCAGACTTAGCAAGTCTCACATATTTGTCTATGGGATGAAAGGAACTGTTGCTGAGGTATGTATACTTCTCCTCAAGTTGACATTGTATTGCAGTTCCAGGATTTCGGTCTATAAGAATCTGTCCTCCTGCCTAAATTTGGTTTATTAGAATGATGGTCCATTTGTCCTTTTTCTCTGTGTTTTGTTTAGTTTTGCAAGAACATTGTTTTGGCTGGAGTTGGTAGTGTGACTCTGATGGATGATCGGGTTGTAACCAATGAAGCATTAGCCTCCAACTTTTTGATACCACCAGACGAGAAAGTTTACAGTGGGAAAACTCTCGCAGAGCTTTGCTGTGATTCTTTGAAGGAGTTTAACCCAATGGTCCATGTTTCAGTTGAAAAAGGTTTGACCTTGGTTCTTCTTGGTCGTAAATCTAATGGTTGCAATCAAGTTGTGTGCTTGTGATAGTTTATTCTTTGCCTTCATAATTTTCTATGCCCTTAATGTATTTGCGCATACACTAAGCTGATGAACTTACCCTGTTGAAATCTTGTGTACAGCTGAGTTGGTAACGTTGGGTCAGCAGTTCTTTGAAAAGTTTGATGTTGTTGTCATAAGTAGCTGCCCTCCTGCAACTAAAGTACAATATTCTCTCCTTACCTTAGGACGCATGTTGGACTGCATTCACTGAGCACTTTTCCTTCCATATTTGATAACCTCGGTCATTATTGCAGATATTGATCAATGAAAAGTGTAGGAAGTTATCCAAGCGTGTAGCATTTTATACCGTTGAATGTAGGGATTCCTGTGGTGAGATTTTTGTCGATTTGCAGAACTACAAGTATATGACGGTAATGACTCTTCCTTCTGACTGTAACGGCTTTGTTATTAGAAATGTAATACTTCATGCTGAACTTGATATGCTTCTGTCTGATGAATCTTTCTAGAAAATAAATGACTTTAAATATCTTAGTGAGTGTCTAACTGCTAGTTTTTATGTTGACAGAAAGGAAAAACAGATGGACCTGCTTCTGAGTGTGAACTGCGGTATTCAAGCTTTCAGGTATTATCAAGAATGTCTCTGATGTTCTTATTAACCTTTAAGTTGTATGATTCATTTACTTAACTCCATGAGAGCACGACTTATTCATTTTTATTCTTTGACTTTTGCCTCTTCTAATCACCATTTCTTTCACTGCCTGATTAAACCTGGCAGGCAATTTGGTTTTGCATGCCTACTTAATGAAAGATGGTTGTTATATTAAATTTGTTGATGTTGATCTGGATAGTACCGATGCTAGTACCTTGCAATATATGATGATAAGCATATTCATATTGCAGGAAGCGACTTCAGCACCTTGGGGAAGACTTCAAAGAAGAACATCAAAGCTTTACTTTGCCATGAGAGGTTTGTTTTAGGTTTTTCAGCCGTTTGTATTATATTAAGACAGACTAATCTCTTCGTCGCTTACCATCCATCATCACAATTGTTTTGCACAGTGATTGAGAGTTTCGAAGAGGCAAACGGTCGAAATCCAGGAGCTTTCTCTGTCGAGGATGTTCCTGCTGTATTACAGTTAAAAAGGCAACTCTGTGAGGCGCAGGTACGGTAAAGCGTACATTCGTAAATTTCTGTTATATTTGTTAATTATCTTGTGCACTTCATAACTTTGAAAATTTATACATTTCTAGTCAGTAAGTGAATCCTTTGTACCTGATACCCTGCTCGAGAGATTGGTGATTGGTTCCATAGAATTCCCGCCGGTTTGTGCAATCATAGGAGGCATCCTTGGACAGGTATCCTTCTGTAGATGGTTTTCATCTCTTCGCCCTGAGTCCTTTTATATTTTACACTATTAATTAATGTGTTTGATTCTTCATTTGATTCAGGAGGTGATCAAAGCAATATCTGGGAAAGGGGACCCTGTCAAGAATTTCTTCTACTTTGATGTTGTGGATGGTAAAGGTGTGATAGAGGACATATCAAGTCGGGCCCCGGAAGCCGATTCCGCCTCCTCTAAGTCCGCCAATATTATCACCCAAGTAGTTTTGGAATAGAAGAAGAGCTTACAATGTAGGAAATCTGAGAAGATGCCTGACCTTTGACGATTTCTTTTGTAGTTTTTTCTAGACTCTATCTAGATAAGTTTAACCTGATAACTAGAGAAACCAATTGTCTTGGTGAATGCCAGGGAAATCGTAGCTTGTTGTTGATACTCCTGAGTTACAATTCATTTAAACTCCCGTCACTTTGATATCTGCTCCTTGGAAATGTTTCTCTTCTTGGTGACTTATATAATTTAGGTGGGGTAAATTACAAGGTTGGTCAGATTACTAGAAAGTGTTATGTTGGTCACTCTCCGTCCAACTGTGTTAACATTTATTGATATGGTAGTCAACTCTCATGATCGTTAAATTTGACGTGACAATTAAAAAATATTACAAAAATAAATATAAATTATTTAAAATTTTCACATCATTTTCAACTATTAATAAATACAAATAAACTTAAAAGCTCATGATGAGAACCCCGTTAGGTTTCTCCCTTCACCACCGCCAGTTAGTGATGGCAATTTGATCTCGCCCTGCGGGCTGCTAGTATTACCCGACCTGACCTGTGATGGGATGAGTATTACCCGATCCATAGTAGTGTGGGGCGGAGTATGGGTATTTACTTTCGACTCGCGTTGCCCCGCTCCGCCCCGTTCTTGGCCTGGTAGTCCATGAAACCGTACCGGGCACAGTATTGGGAAAGTCAGTGGTAGGGTAGTTTATGGTAAAATCCTGGTTTAACCGTAGTTCAATCGTAGTATCATTAAATACCACCTACTGGTTTAGCCTAACACTAGTATTTCGTGGTTGAACCGTCGGTAGAGTATGGTTTCATGGACCATGATTCTAACTCACCTTCTTACAATATCTATAAATATTTTTCTTATTTTGAATTTTCTTCAACTAGTTAGAGTCGATTCTTCTACTAGTTAGACTCAATTACCCATTCTATTATCACTATTTTTCATTCATAAAGTGTTTTCCCCTACGTTTTATCGTAAAAAGTAAAATTTGCATGTGTTCTTTCAAATAACATGTAACCGTGGGTCGACCCGCCCTGCCCTGTACCCGTGCGAGTTTTACCAGCCCGACCCGTAGTAAAGTGGGCCATAGTGATGGCAATTTGAACCCACCCCGCGGGTATTACCCAAACTGACTAGCGATGGGGCGGGTATTACCCGACCCTGTCCCGCCTCGCCCCGTTCTACCTCAATTTCTTACAATATCTATACATTTTTTCTCCTATTTTGACTTTTTTTTTTCAACTAGTTAGAGTTGATCTTTCAACTGGTTAGACTCAATTACACATTATATTATGACTATTTTTCAATTATAAAGTGTTTTTTCACTTTGTTTTATCGTAAAAAGCAAATTTGCGTGTTTTTCTTAAATAAAATGCGAGAGTGGGTCGACCCGTAGTAGCGTGGGGCGAGGCATGGATATTGATGTACCCGCCCCACCCCGCCCATTGCCATCAGCCCATCACTAGCCCAAGCGTGCCGGTAACCGAGCCAAGAGTACCAAATTTTTTTATGAAGATTTTGATTTCGAATTCGATGTCAGCGGTCAATTGGGTAGGGGCTCGTTGTGCGCCGCCGACTAGCTTTTCGACGGCGGTAAGATCCGACCGTTGAAATCCTCTCCATGGTACGATTCGGGGGCCGGATCCTATGTCGCTTCTCCCCGGTCCCCGCGATCTCGCGCCGCTTCGAAAAACAGAGTATTCGATCCTTTTCAGGCAGCGATTCAAGAGACTCGTAAGGAAGAATTGGACCTACGTGGAAGAAGAGAACAGAGAGGAGCGATTGGCTATTCTTGGGAGAAGAATTCTGATTCTAATTTTGACTCTGTTTCCGGCCGTCGAGGAAGCAGCAGGTCGCTATTGCCAATGAGAATACCAGACGTGATATTGGAGCAGGATGATTACAATGCCGAATTCGACCTTGTTTTGTCGCCGATGGCGTGAAGCAGTCCTACGCCGGGACGTTCCTGTCGGCGATATTGTTTTCCTCGAAAGGGCGGTACAGAAAATGTGGAGTTACGTAAGAATCGGTCAATGATCATAAACAAAAATGTGGCTTTACATTGCCGGTGTGTAGAGATCCGAGATTGGGGCGGTGCTACGAGAGCTACAGCGAGGATCCGGACATAGTGGCAATGACGGAGCTGATCCCAAACCTGCAAGGAGATGTTCATAGTACTGACTTGCGCCAGGGAGTCCCTTATGTTGGTGGAAAGTAAGTTTCAAATAATAAACTACTTCTTTTTCTTTAATTTACAGGCTAGGAGGCAAAGTCCACGATTGAAATTGTGCTTACCGCACCATTTGTCAGGATGTCCTTAGAACATTCATAGACAATTTCATTTTGTGTTGTGTGATTATTGGATGGCCGCCGGGAGGGTTCGACTCCGTCTAGCAGGGCATCCTCGCTGGGGGCCAAGCGGTCACTATCAAGTGAAGAAAGATGAACAATATGCCCTGCAGAGCAAGTGAAATGAAGTTGCAGAGGATTCTGAAGAACTGAAGAAGAAACCTTACCCAGAAACCGAAACGTTTCTGGGTTCCCTTCCATCCAGTTTAAGCGAAGGAGAAATACGACGACGTTGTGGAGTTCTTGAACTTACCGTTGGGTGGAACCGTTTATGACGAATGAGACTGTGCCAAGTGGCTTTACATTTACTGTTAATTTGAATTTCAGTTTTGCATTTCCATTTTCACTGTTTTGTAACGTGAACTTGAATTCTCCTGCTTGGGTATAAAACGAAAGCCAGAGAGATCCCTTACTCTTTTGTGCGTTTCCCATTTCATCGTGCTGTCGTCTTTCCGCTTAACCCTAGCTCGAGCTAATCTGAAATGGTATCAAAGCAGTTGTTGTTCCAGTAACCTGCAATGGCGACGACACCACCACACAACACTGTGCCGCCGAATACTCCTCCGGGCAGTATTCCACTTGGCACATTCACTGGGATGAGTTCAGGAGCGACGAATGGATCTAACAACAACAACAACGAACACACATATCTGAAATTTGGTAACCCTTTCTATATTAACGCAAACGAGAATATCTCGCAATCTATTATCTTTGAGGTCTTGGATGGAACGAATTACCAGATTTGGCAACGAGCTGTTCGAATGGCTCTGAAGACGAAGCACAAAATTGGGTTCATAGATTGCTCAATTGTTGTTCCCACTATAGGCGATCCAACCTATAGTACTTGGGATGCTTGTAATACTCTGGTTCTGTGTTGGATATTGAACTCTATAGAGAAGGAGATTCGACGAAGCGTGATGCAGCATGAGGTAGCTCGAACCTTGTGGGAGGAGCTCAAAGCTCGTTTTGGTTTTACCAATGCTATTAAACTGTCGAATATGGAGGATCAAATCATTGCTTGCAAACAGGGACCCCAGAGCGTTACTCAGTACTACACAGTCCTAAAGGGTTTGTGGGAAGAACATCTCCAGTACAATCCAATTGTAAACTGCAATTGTGCTCCACAACGAACTCAACCCTGTGCAGCAGTTGAAGCCTTCAAGCAAAAGCAGGAAACTAATTATCTGATTCGGTTTTTGAAAGGTCTGAGATCTGAATTTGATGTTGTTCACACACAGATTCTGATGATGAAGCCACTTCCCACTGTGGAAGTTGCCATCATTACAACATGAATAGAAGCTGAAAGCAGACAAGGGAATCACTAAAGGTGTGCAGACAGTTGCCTTGGCAGTGCAAGGAGATTCTTTAGATGGGAAAAAGTTTTGTCGATATTGTAAGAAGGATGGACATGTCAAGGAAGAATGTTACCGTTTGAATAACAAGAAGCTGTGAATGGCTGGAGGAGTTGCTGCAGCAGTAAATCAGGGAGTTCAGAAGCTCAGATACTTGCTGCAAACAGTCCCTTCCTCTGGACCTTCATCCCCAGCTTCATCTCCAATCAACCATTTGGCTTTCTCTGTGGCTAACAACACTTCTCCATTCCCTACTTATGTTGGTAAATTCATTCTATCCTCTTTTATGCAGCATAAGTCAGAATCTCTTTCACATTCCTGGATCTTGGACACTAGAGCATCAGATCATATTGCCTGTCACATTGATTTGTTTACTGAGTCCACTCCAGTGCAAGATCAGTTTGTTTACTTTCCAAATGGTACCAAGGTGTTGGTTAGTCATGTAGGAAAGGTTCAACTCTCTCCTGATTTGTTCCTTGAAAACGTTCTCCTAGTGCCTAGTTTCACATTCAACCTCATCTCAGTGAGCAAGTTGACACATGACCAACCCATATCCTTACATTGAGTCTGATTCTTGTCAAATTAAGGACCTGGTGACCCAGAAAAGGACTGGTTTAGCAAGACAGAGTAATGGCTTGTATCAACTGCACACCAAGGCCAGAGGACCCCTTCTACCTACACCACAAGCAACCCTTTCTTACAACTTTCAACCACAAAACATCAACCTTTGGCACTGGAGATTAGGGCATCCTGGCAAGGACAAGGAGAAACAGTTACTGCCTAGTGATAGGAATGTAGTTTCTCATTGTCAAACATGTCACTTTGCCAAACATAAGAGACTTACTTTTCCTGTTAGTAGTAGTAGAGCAGCTGCTGTTTTTTATCTGGTTCATAAGGATCACTTTGTCAAACATGTCACTTTGCCAAACATAACGCTTACTCGCCAGCTTGTGGGGGAGTATCAAGTGAAGAAGATGAACAAGATGCCCTGCAGAGCAAGTGAAATGAAGTTGCAGAGGATTCTGAAGAACTGAAGAAGAAACCTTACCCAAAAAACGGAAACGTTTCTGGGTTCCCTTCCATCCAGCTTAAGGGAAGGAGCAATACGAGGACGTTGTGGAGTTCTGGAACTTACCGTTGGGTGGAACCATTTATGACGAATGAGACTGTGCAAAGTGGCTTTACATTTACTGTTAATTTGAATTTCAGTTTTGCATTTCCATTTTCACTGTTTTGTAACGTGAACTTGAATTCTCCTGCTTGGGTATAAAACGAAAGCCAGAGAGATCCCTTGCTCTCTTGTGCATTTCCCATTTCATCGTGTCGTCGTCTTTCCGCTTTACCCTATCTCAAGCTAATCTGAAAGTCACCGTGAAAATGCCGGCACCGGGTAGCAGCCAGGGCGAGAGGCACCACCTGTCGTGGGATTAGGATTTTTTTAATTTATGATAATTAGCGGAAAATAAAAAATAATTATATTTTATTATTTTTAAATTATCACGTCACTCATTTAACGGTCAACTATTAGAATTGACCGTCACATCAGCAAAAGTTAACGGAGGCTAACGACCAGTGACCAAACTTGAACTGTTAACCTAATTTAAGTGACTATGGATGGAATAAAGTAATTCTAGTGGCTAACGTGAACTTTACTAGTAATTCAAGTGACCAAACTTGTAATTTAGCCTTTCATAATAATAGTTAGCAATAGTTAGTGGGATTGGATTAGCTTCTGCAATCGGCCCATATATCCAATTTTAGTCTCTAGTGGCCTCGTGAGTTACGCTCTGATCGCTAGCAAGTTCTCCAATGTGTTTGTTTTTTTTTTGAGAATTTGGAAATCTCAGAATACTGTGTTTGATTTTCAAATTCGAGAATTCTCTTCTTCAATCCTCCCCAACCCCTCCCCGGGCGGTTTGGTGCCCTCCTCCCTCAAGCGTTCTCAAGATTAACTTTGACGAATCAGTCCAACAAGATGCTTTCTCTTTTAGAGTTGCTATTCGAGATTTTAGCTGTTTCATTCTTTTGGTGTTCGGTTTAATTTCCTTCATTCTGACATCTTAGACCCTTACCTGGCAGAACTTCTTGCAGCTTGTGATGACATTTCCTTGGCGGCTCCTCCTCAGATAATTGCTAGAGTGGTGGTTGAAGGCGACTCGAAGGTTGTTTTGCTTATTTCCATAAAGGTTTCTCCTCATATGTCCTAGGTGGGCATGTGGTTTGTGATTGTCTCCAGCTGATCTCGGTCTTACCCCATGGTGTAGAGTTCAGGACGGTTCGTAGAGTTTTCAATTGGGCCGTCCATAGAGTAGCATGTAAAGCTAGTTCCTTCTCTTCGTTAGAGTTGGTGTGTTTTGATTTTGGCGCCTGGTTACTGTTGTAATAGATTTGAGTGGATTTTAGCACGGATATGATGTATCATTGTAATGATGTTTCTTTTCTTGACATTTCTCGGAAAAGAAAAATTATGGGTAGTCTTATAGTTTGGGCCATGAGCACCACAACCATGTTGCATGTGAGCAGAAGCTGGCCTGGCCGGCCGGCAGTGGCACATTTCCTCATGATACCAATTGTTGAGAAATGAGAATCCATGGCCAGTGATCAGTAAGCGTCACATACGCTCTTTCATATCAATCGAATAGTAGTCTTATGAGATTGTTAAAGGAGAAAAGCCAAAGCTATTGGCCATCAGGGAAAGGAATGAAATTAAAAGCTTCACAAGCAATCCATTGTCGTCAGTCCATCCCTCCATTATTATTATTATTGGTAAGCATTGTTGATGTCATAGAAAGACATCATGACATGCAATGAAAGGCCAATCGAGATAATGTTATACCATGATATGTAGGCTCTTTCTTGGACACACCAAAGCATCGAGTGACATGCTGATTTTTTTTCTCTGGTTGCTCACATTAACATTTCCCCGCCCTCAATGTACGGCTTCTTCTTCACCATGTAATTGGTGGGTTTCGTTTGTTAGCTGGCTAGCGTATATTGCTTGCCATTGATACGTCTCTTTCTCTTACATTTTGAACCCTACCTCCATCCCCTCTGTCTTTCTCTCCCTAATTTTACACCAGTAGTTGAAGCTGATGATCATTACTTGATGTTTAATCTTCAAAGTTCGTTGGGAGTTGGGACCATTTCATGGTTATCTTTATCTTAATTTTTTTTATGTTAAAAAGTAATTCACATGGCTGGATAGATTTCGAAGACACTAGAAATTAAGCTGCCTGCCCAACTACAATCCTACTCAAGGTTGTCAATCCGGGGATTTTTCCAAAAGTAGCACTGTTTAAAAAAAAAATTCCAAAAATAGCATCCAACTCCGAAAAATTCCAAAAATAGCACCCTTTCTGCAAAACCGCCACCCGTACCAGCGGTTTAGGCGAAAACCGCCACCCGGGAGCGCGTTTTTCGATGAAAACCGCACTGGTAGGGGGCGGTTTTGCAGACTGCACCCCACCATGCGGTTTGGTTGCAGACCGCACACCCACCATGCGGTCTGTTTTTTTTTTTTTTTTTAAAATGCTAACCTAGGGTGGAAACTTCAAACGAACGTATCTTTGTGTTCGGGTATCCGATCGTCGCGAATTTTTTTTTTGATTCCGCATAAATTTTTGAGATCTTGCAAGTCGAAGACTGCCGAAGGTGGTGTGGTCCCACCTTCATCCCAAAAAATGTCGTTTGCTACCTCCGAACGAGCTTTTTTCCGATTTCGTCAAATTTTGGACAACCATAACTTTGTTCTCCAAAATCCAAACGACATGAATTTTTTTTTATTTCGCATAACTTCTTAAGGACTACAATTTTTACTAGGAATGAATTTTCAAAACAAGAATTATTTTTGGATATACAGGATTTTGGGAATAGCTTACCTTCCCTTCTCAGCAATCCACGTACATATTGAAATTATGTTTCTGATAAAAGTTGTATTCCTTAAAAATTTATGCGAAATAAAAAAAAATTCATGCCGTTTGGATTTTGGAGCACAAAGTTATGGTTGTCCAAAGTTTGACGAAATCGGAAAAAAGCTCGTTCGGGGTAGCAAACGACATTTTTTGGGACGAAGGTGGGACCACACCACCTTCGCCAGTCTTCGACTTGCAAGATCTCAAAAATTTATGCGGAATCAAAAAAAAATTCGCGACGATCGGATACCCGAACACAAAGATACGTTCTTTCGAAGTTTCCACCTAGGTTAGGATTTTTCAAAAAAAAAAAAAAAAAGCAGACCGCATGGTGAGGGTGCGGTCTGTAAAACCACCCCCTGCCAGTGCGGTTTTCATCGAAAAACGTGCCCCTGGGTGGCGGTTTTCGCCTAAACCGCTGGTACGGGTGGCGGTTTTGCAGAAAGGGTGCTATTTTTGGAATTTTTCGGAGTTGGGTGCTATTTTTAGAATTTTTTTTAAAACAGTGCTACTTTTGGAAAAATCCCGTCAATCCGCGGGTCGACCCACTTTGACCCTGACCCGGTGAGAAAAACGGGTTGCACGCACCCGTCGGGTCGACCGCTACAATGTACCGGATTAGATGTCAAATTGTGTCATTTTTTCTTTGGTTTGCGAAATGCGCCTATTTTCCGATTTTCTTTTCGCCTAACTCAATCTTTGGAATCCTAAGTTGAACATTTAAATATTGTTGTTATAATTGTGTGTGAATTTTCACTATATGTTGGATCTAAGTACGACATGTTATTTTAGTGTAATATTATATGTTATAACTCATATGTTAGATGAGATTTGATATAATTTATCAGGGTAAGTATAATATAATGACTCTTTCCATATTTACGGGCTAAACCGGGTGACCCATTAACCCTTGACCCACTAGCTTCACCGGGTCCGGGTCAACCAGCGGGTTGACAACCTTGATCCTATTGTTTCTCTTCTCGTTAAATTCAAATTTATTACCATGTTTGGGTATGAAAAACAATATTTATTAATTTCCTTTTTAATAAATTATATTTTAGGAAGTTACATAAATATATTAACTACCATTTTCTCTCTCTCTTTCTCTCACTTCTACAAAGTCCAGCAAGATCTCTCTTCCTTCTTTTTTCTCAATCTTTTCTTGATTTCATTCAGCTGAACTAATACCGCTGCAACAACAAAACAATAAATCAACACCAATCCATTATAAACACTATCATTGCACAAAACACTAATACCATTCGAAAAATAAAAAACACTACCATTTCACAAAAGAACAATACCATCGTAGATTTAATCAATATCACTACATGTAGTGAGCTCGTTTGGTATTTGCGATTGTTAAAATTGATGTATTGTATGAATGCATGCATTATAAATTGATGTATTGATTAAATGTTTGTATTTCAAGATTACAATGTTTAGTAGTTGTGATTGCATTTTTAGGAATGTAGTAGGAAAACCACTTTTTGAATGAAAAGTCGCATTTATCCTTTCTTTTAAATATAAAAGTCAATCAGATATAAAAGTTGATAAGGGCATAAGAGAAGAAAAGTTGATTCATAATCTCAAAAGACAATCTCACCAAATAGTTGAGATTCTAAATCATTCATTTTGAATGATTTCAAATGTCACATCAACAATCAAATACATGCATTGTGTTTTATTTTGCAACAAAAAAACTATGTATTATCTACAATACATGCATTCATTAAATACATCATTTAGATACGCATCTACCAAACGACCCTGTAAATCAATAATATTACATGATAATCAATACCAATTCAAAAAAACACTACCACTACAAAAAAAAAAAATACTACCATTTCACAAAATTACATACCAATAATTTATCCTCCCTCCTTTGCCACCACATTGACGACAATCCAACCTTCCGGGAGAGAGAGAGAGAGATAGTTATGGTGGACGACTCTTGCCAGTAAGGGGGTGAGTGGAGCTTTTGGGCAGGGAGGAGGGAGGGATGGGTGAGGGGAGGCGGTGATAGGGGAGAGGGAGGGTGAGTGACGGTCGGCGGGGAGGGGAGGGCAGGAGGGTTGAGGGCAGACGGCTGGCTGGAGCTGCGTGGGAAGATAGAGAGAATGGAGGTAGGGTTGGAGAGGTAAGTTTTAAATATAGGTCATAATCTGGTGTGATAATATTTTAAAGTCCAAACTACCCTAAATCTAATCTTGACTGTTATTTTAAAAAAGAGAAAAATAGAGTCAATGAAGAGTTTAGATGTATGTTGCCACCATGATTACTAAAAAACTAGTAACCACCCTAACACGTTCCACGTTGTAGGGAATTTTTTTTTGAAGACCATTCCAAATATATGGATAATTCTCTACAGCCTCATTCTTCCATTATGATAATCTAGATGATGGTTTCCGATCGATCGTAATGTTGGATGGGTTCCAACACATTGTCAATTAGATCGGCCATCCCCAGATTGGTAGATGATGCATTCACACGTACGAGTAGAGGTGACAGTTCTCAATCCAATCCATCAATCCATTAAAAAAATTCAATTAATCCAATCATTTAAATACAATTTTAGGTCACCCAATCCGTCAATTCAGCCGCCACACTCATACTGTAGAGCGTGAAACCGTGAACTCCGACGAATTTGCACAAAATACGCGAACTAAAAAAATTTGGAGTGCAAATTGCTGATGATAGAGCGCGGTTTATTACAAGTTGGAA